GATATAGCGTTATCCATTGTTCACGGCGTCACAAATTGATTACATTACATCATCCGAACAAAAGGCTGCCTTCAGTGAAGTTTCTCTGTATGGATGACATTCATACGTTTTTTCCTCATTTTCTCGCTTAAAATGTCAATGAATTATATACAGAATAACCTACTCTAAACTCGGAAGATTATCTGCCCCTCGACAAAGGCTCTGGATTAACACCATTCATTCATTCGGGACAGATGATCCGTAATTCCCCGCAGCTCATTGGGGATTTTCTAAATGTATACCATTGAAACGACTTACAAAGTAAATAAAGTAGACACAATTTATGGATAACAACTTCTTTAATACTGTAAAGGCGACGTTTCGGTATAGATCCTTATACCGTTGTCAAGCAAAACTGAATTAGGAACATTGTACAGAATATAAGTATTAAAGAACATGTTATCCATAAATTGTGTCTACTTTGTCATCCGTCAACTTTTAAGTAATGCCTATCAAACAATTCACTGACAAAGTAAACAAAGAATATTAAAACATTTCTATCCCCCTTTTTTAGACGATAGGGCCCACCTGGGCGATACTTTACATAGGCTGTATTTGGAGAAACCTTGACCCCCCGGGCAGATAGAGGTGGCGCAGCCCTGGCCCGTCATCACATGGCTAACACGGGGTCAGATAGTTCCGCTTATTGCCCTCACCCAGATCCAGAATCCTTTGATATAGGTGTATGTCTATATCGAGACTGATGCGACACTGTTCTACTCATAGGAACCTTCTACCCACCTCATTATGTGATCATAGGATAAATATTTGTCCACAGCTATTGAATTCAGCTGAAATTACCCCACGATGTCCCCGCGTGGCTCTGTAGTTCGGCTTACATATATTCCAAACATGCAACGGGTTCAACTTATGTTTACATGTATAAGGAAAACGAGACTCGGCGAAGTAAGATACGTATTTTGACTTGTGGTGAGCACTAGATAAAGAAAGGCATATGTTTAATACGGGGTTGCCATAAGGCATGTGGCGATCACGCATTTGCAAGTCATCCCAGGGCAGTGTGAACATACGATACAAACTCGCATGCACGTTGCTATATACGTGCAGTAATCTTGAACACGAGGGGCGGTCGGGTAGCCTAGTGGTTGAAGCGTTCGCTCGTCACGCCGAAGACCCGGGTTCGATTCCCGACATGGGTACAATGTGTGAAGCCCATTTCTGGTGTTCCCCGCCGTGATATTGCTGGAATATTGCTAAAAGCGGCGTAAAATCATACTCACTCACTCTTGAACACGAAGATAAACCCCATTTAACATCGCCTCATAGTAAGTTACCCTTAAAAATGTAAATTTTGAATGCTCTATGTATCTACAAATCTACTGTAATATGTTAGACTAATATTTTTCGTTGTTTGCCAAAATTTACGCAACTGGCTTTAGAAAAACGTACATTTAAACAACACTCGGATGTTTCTTACGCAATTGCGATTGCCACATGGCTTTAAATGTTACCGAGCCAAGGATAAAAAAACCCTGTCCAACTATTTGTCTCATTCATTGAAAGGTCGCTTCACTGAGCCAACCGTTAAAAGGACACTTAACGCCTTTTCTCTTACTATTTGTAATTTGCCACCACACTCAGCGAGGAATTTAGCGTCTATGTATCACACACATGGTTTACATTAACGAGACATGTGTTTGTCCAGAGCATATATGTCCGATATACCGGGATATGGTCATTGGTGTGTCCAGTCGCCATTGACGTCCTTTTGGGGCACTGGTGGCCTAGTCGTCCAAGGCGCCGCGATTCGCTGTGCAGAGTTGCGTCCCTTGGACATGCCAGAAACCTACGATTGTGGCTTCGAATCCCGGTTCGCCCCAATTATGTTTCTAGGTTTGTCAGCACCATACCCGCGCTTGTGGGTTTCACCGAAGTGGTAAACGTCTGAGACCTGCATCACTTCGGGCTTTCCTCCCACATTAAGCTAAAAGGCCGTGATATAACTGGAATACTGTTAAAAGCGGCGTTAAACCCAACTCACTCACTCACTCACGCATTGGCGTCCTTCAGACACTGGGAATATGTATATTTCAGGTGCATGATATTTAAGATTCTTCAGAGCTTTGGGACACTATTAATGTTGCTCATTAAGAGAATTAAGATAGTCCTGAATTAAAATAGACTGAACTTCGGTGCTGGATGATGTCATATTATGCATTGTCCGCCATGGATATTGTCATAGTCAGCCTCGGTCGTAAACAATCGAGTCCTTCAGTTTTCGCTAACGTTCCCGAAATTGTTTGTCTGTGGTTGAACGCCATACTCAGTAATATTCCAGATGAATGACGGCGGTCTGTAGATAATCGAGTCTGTACCAGACAATCCAGTGATTGACATCGTGAGCATCGATCCATGCAGTTGGGATACCATGACATTTATCAACCAAGTCAGCGAGCCTGACCACCTGATCCCGTTAATCGCCTCTCTGACAAGCATAGTCGCCTTTAGCATAGTAGACCTATACTACCCTTAATTTCACGGGTCTCCCGGAATTGTATTGGATTTTATAACTGTTTGAGATATCATTATTTATTATTACATATGCGTCTTGTGTGTGAAACCTATGCATATTGTAGTTATAAGATCAATTAAATGTATCATCCAAATATTACTATCACAGACTCTATCGTCAGTGATTCTATCAGTGACATTATTCAATCAGTGCACGATTATATTGTCCAAACTACATGACTCAAATATTATAACAATATTATATAAACCAATGTTGGATAACATATTGAAATTGGGATAAATGTATATGAATTATATGTATGTACATTTATATTAAACATTTACATATTTATATTAATTCATAAGAAGCGTTCTGTATTTCAATAGTCTGCTTGTATAAGTCCGGAATTATGTTTAAACATTATTTATATTAATTCATAAGCAGCGTTCTGTATTTCAATAGTCTGCTTGTATAAGTCCGGAATTATGTTTAAACATTATTTATATTAATTCATAAGCAGCGTTCTGTATTTCAATAGTCTGCTTGTATAAGTCCGGAATTATGTTTAAACAAAGTTATGAGATAATCTGTTTCGTAACTCAAATTTTGTCGTCTTCTTTAATATTAGGACTGATGAATATGACTGTTAATCAAAACTTACATCTGAATATTATAAAACGTAAAAATGTCATAGATTACAATTTTAGGAGATGACTGTTCGAAACCGCATAGAAATAAACACTTGGCAAGGCCTAGCATGTCACATCCATCCCATAATACATCTGGTAGTCTGACGTAATGATAATGAGTTCCCCATTCATTGTGAGGTGAGTTGAAATGGGGTTTAACGTCGCGTCCAAGATTATTGCACTTATATAGCGACGCACATGCACGTGTATGTGTGTGGCTGCTTGTACTAGTCCGGACTGATGCCGATTTATAGTGTAAGCCCACTGAGATACCATGCCGCAGTTTAACATGAATAGCCCACTCAGACACAGCATACTGACTCCGAGCCGACCAGTCCTTGTTTTAGCCCCTTAATGCCGAGCGCCAGACAGGGTAACAACAAGTGCCATCTTTTAACGTCTTTTTGTATGACACGGCCGGGGATCGAACCCCGGACCTTCCGCTCTCCGGGCGGACGCTCTACCACTATACCACGGAGGCGCTCTGCAATTCATTGTGACCGTCGTGTGTAATATTGCATATGCTTTGATATTCGCGGCAATGCATCACAACCGGTGTTTGTATTGAGTACATGTACGTCTCATAACACAATGGAAGCATGACTAAAGACTTATAGACTAACATCTAGTTTTGAAATTAACATATTTTAAAGAGAAAAAAAAGTTGTTAAATTATAGTTATAATATATTAATAAAAAGGAGCCAAAGGACTTAATTTCCACATTCTAAAATACTAGACTTGCCAAATAGCATAGACTTGCATAGGTTGTATTGGATATATTTGTTTCAGGGTCTGTGTGGCAGACTAAAGTACTTACTACTTATTGGTGTATTGTGAACAGTCCGATCCTGAGATGAACTTACAGGTGTCTGCGTTGCACCTAACGGTTGTAACAACAAACTTGTTTCAAGGCCACCCGCGACTGTGACGCGGACCTTTCAGCTGGTGATTATTGCAGTCTCAAGACAAATCCGGGCTTTTTCAAGATAGAGGACGTAATGAAATCAATGGAACTAAAATTGAAACTGAGCTGTTATTTGGCGCAGACATGAAGATACTCCTGGGTTTGGGAGGTTCAACCTGTAACTACGCTTGTCCTTGGTATATATACGTATTTGGCCTTGGTGTAAGGAAAGACGTATATGTGTGTGTGTGTGTGTATATATATATATACTATGAAGATATATATATATATACTATATATACTATACTATATTTACTATATATATATATATATATATATATATATATATATATATATATATATATATATATATACGTATTTGGTGTAAGGTACACCAGACAGACACGTGGTGCATTGACCACGACTGGAGGTAGTACCACGACACACTGGGGTGGTGTCAACAGGAGCTGGGGGTGCATGTTCAACAGCTGCACCTCAAATAACGGACGTCCTTGGGAGAAATCTCATTGATGAGGCTAGAGAAAGGGATGCTCGTCTCAAGACAGTCATGCAACAGATTGTCAGTGCTTAAGAGACAATCCTTTGCCGTATGGGAAAATAAAGTCTCCAAGTTGCTGAAATGGACAAACCTGACAAGACAAGAAAAAGGTTTTGCTAGGTGTCCTGCACTTCTCACCGGCAAACTCTCTCCTGACACTGAAGCTGCTGTGATACATGATACTATGATACATGATACTATGGCGTGACTTCGACACGCTGTACAGTCCTCTGTCACCCATGCAATGCAAGAGATTGGCTGAATTTGAGTTTGATTTTGAAACAGGAAAACATGTTGTATTTTGTTCAAAAAACAAGCTTTCAAAGCAGGAAAAATATAGTCAACAATTTTATTTTACATGTATGAATATATTGTCTACACCTCACGCACATGATCCTGACAAATATATATTCCATGTCTAAGAGCATTACAAAAATTTAAAAAATATCACAATATCAACACAATACAGTTCCTATATAAAATATTATAATATCGAATAATTTTATTTAAAACACCAATCGAATAACTAAACGCTGGACTATACTCAGTTTTGCATTAACTGTACAAATGTTGATAGTGCCTTCGAATTATAAGTTTTGGGTCACAGACCGTTAGGGTCGCAGTGCATATACAGTGTTACTGCCAAATAAATGTACAGCGTGTCCTTTTTCAGATCTATATATTGGTGGTAGGACACGCCCAATGGAATTTCTAGATATACTGAGGGTTTGGATTTGTCACCGAGAAACCACTTTACAACAGGACTGACAAGCAGAGCATCTCAAAACACGCCAAGCTGTACACTAAGACCCACACGCCAATGACAGATGATGTATTTGCACTGAGAAAATGAAATCGCCAGAGCATCGTGTTAACAGTCAGTAGGTGTGGTGTTGCTCCGCTCTTAGTAACATCCCAGCGTGAACACCAGAAATGGGCTTCTCACATTTCACCTATCTGAGGAATCGAACCCAGGCTTCCGAGTGATGGACACTTTGTCCACTAGGCTACCCTTCCGCCCTGAACTGTAATGCGCTCTCTCACAAAAATATGTTTCGAAAAGCACACAAAACGACCTTGACAAACTGTAATACAAACACATGTACAGTGCATAGAACGACATAGTACCATATAGTGTAATAGTCAAAATGTCCTCCAAAGTATCATTGCAAAAAAAGGAACTTACCATTGTGTAATGACAGTTTCGAGTCAATTTCATTCTTAATCTCTGTATTGGTCATAAATATTAATTAAAAGTTCTACTTTGATCCAAATCTTCAAACGTAGTCAACAAACCGAACTGTTTCATATTTTTTATAGTTAGTTCGATTACCAGCAAGAATTATTTCAAATCAAGACAACATTCCAAATGTTCCGACAACCCACTTGACCATTAGTCCGATACCAAGTAAACTTTGCATTAGGATTGGTCAGTAAATCAGAACTGTGTCATAATTCTATCGCCCGTTTGATTTTCAATTCGAATTATCTCAGTCTTCAAATCAGAAGAGCAAATGTTCCCAACAAGCCATTGACCAATACCCGATACCAGGTTACCTTAGAATGAGGATACTTTGTCCAAATCAAAACGAGATGAAGTACTCCTGAGCGGAAATACTAGTAGATGTCCCGGTACAGCTCTAGTAGAAGAAGCCAAGCAGGAAGGCCGTGACAACCGCCGACACAATAGCGGCGATATTCGCCACCCTCCGGGCGCGGGGATGTTCGGATATTGACGTCATCTTCTTCTTGATGAGATCCCTTTCCTCCTTGGTGATCTTGGGCTTTGGTTTGTCATCGATGCCGCACAGCCAGTTGTACAGCTTCCGTCCCACCGACTTGTTCTTTGCTGCAAGCATTGAGATGAAGGTATGAGGTGAGGTGAGGTGAGGTGAGGTGAGGTGAGGTGAGGTGAGGTGAAATTGGGTTTAACGTCGCGTCCAAAATTATTGCACTCATATGGCGACGTGCGTGCACGCGTGTGTGTGTGACTGCTTGGGACTGATGCCGATTCATAGTGCTAGCTCACTGAGATACCATGCCGCAGTTTAACATGAATACCCCACAGTATACTGACTCCGAGCCGACCAGTCCTTGTTTTAGCCCCTTAATGCAGAGCGCCGTACAAGTACCATCTTTTTAACGTCTTTTAGTATGACGCGGCCGGGGATCGAACCCCAAACCTACCGCTCTCCGGGCGGACGCTATACCACTAGACCACGGAGGCTGTCTAGATGAAGGTGTGGTGAAGCGATGACGTCACGTTCAAGGTTATTGTACTTTTACACCGATGAGAGTGTACGTTTGAGTGGGCGTGTGTGCATGCATGCGTGCGTGTGTGTGCGTGTGTGTGCGTGTGTTTGTGGTTGCTTGTACTAGTCCGGACTAAAACTAGTTTAACCGTGCTACTCCACGGTGAGTATACGCCGAGCCGACCAGGCCTTGTACCGTGTAAAGATACGAACGTTAACTATTTAAATCACGTTGGTCGTCACGTGTAACGTAATGCAACCGGTGACTGTCAGTGATTCTTAGCACCTTCAAAGGTCGTAAACTCGAGGTCCCTCGGGGCCTCCGAGAATGTCGTCATTACCTTTGCCCATACCAAAGGTAAGACTCAGCAACGTGAGATTAGATACCTGTATATGATATGTGATAGCGAGTATTCGATTCACAGCATTACCTGATTAGTCGACTTATTCGTGGTAGATTTCGGTGGGGGAAAAACAACAAAACAAATATCAATTTTCCTTAGACCTTTCATTAATTTACTTTTCTTTTGTTTATTCCGAAAGAATACTGAGCTAAAAGAGTAGAAAGTATTAAATGACAAAGGACAAAACTCACGTATTGGAGTTACTGGCTCGTCATCACCATCCTCAGAACCAAAGTCATCTTCAGACTCCGACTCCTCGGCGTCCAGCGGGTCATGGCGGGTCCACCACGTGACACGGCGCAGCTAAACCAGGCGACAGTTAACTTATATTTAATGTGTCTCAATAAAAAACTAATACAAAGTTCTATATGAAATGGATTCTACTGAGAAGGTGTTGTATAAATGAATTAACCTTCAAGGGGGAGTTTCCGTATCTCTTGGGAATTGAAGTTTCATCTGAAGCAGAGACATGATTCTGTCATTCAGGAAGTCACATCTTCAATCTCGAATCCCACCCTATAATGACGATCATTCTGCGTTGGATATTTCCATTATATGATGCCTATCCTTGTCCCATTCGCACCATGTTATCGGTACGGAAGTGATGTCACCACACCACCCGCCCCCAGTGATCTCACTCGTGATAACTTGATTGGTTGGCTACTTTTTGCGTCATACTATTTGAATCGTGCTAAAAACGAAACGAACGGGTCCTGGATCAATATCATGGTAAGAAGAACATTCTGGAATGGCTTATAGATGGCCTAGATTGTATGGATATAATCATAAAACCCGTTACTGTCGTTCGGAATACCCCGAGTTAAATATTTCGTGGTTGCATGATTAGAAAACACATTCCGACTGTCACTTTCATGATCTGGTAAGCGACGCTCTGATTGGTTTGATGAAAGGTTGTTCTGACGTGACCCTTAATGGGATGTCCTCAGATCTTTGTTTAGCGATAGCGAGAACTAAGATCAGATTTTAATGAGATTGGAAAATACACCATTGTAGCAGACCTATGCACCACTGCAGTTGCCTCTATTGTATCTTCTACAATTTCAGGTTCTTTTCTTTTCCTGCCTTTACGGACCATAGTGATGAATGGAAATAATTGATGTGAACTTTCTAAGTACTTATGACAAAACGATACTGTAATGCACAGACAGGTCATTTTATAGACGGTGACATGTTGCAAACCTAACGTCGAATGGTCAATCACCGATAGGTCGCCACTAGGTTGCAAAGAGTGAACACCCTTGTGTAGATGAAACCTATCGCCGCACAGTGGAAACCAATCTGCGATTAAAATAACACCTCTTTGAGACCTCAAGGAGACCAATGTGCATGTCCAAAAGACTGGTTACGACTGAATGGGTTTTGCGACGGCTCTGAAACCTTATAGCGACCTCAGTGAAACCTTTCAGAGACCCCTGAAACCTCATTTCGATTATCAAATATTTTGGTCCCCAGGAGGTTGCACCTCGGTCGCATTGCCTGCGTGACTTAGGCTTAACAGAAACAGTTGGAATGCCACAATGTATTACATCTTTCATCATCTTTTGTGCAAATGTGTGTGTCGGGAGGGTGGTGGGGCTGGATCGGGGTTTAATATTTACCTTCTCTGGGGGTCGGGGTTTCGTCAAGAGAGATATGATGACAGTTGAGAGGACGGAGACACCGGACAGGATGATGGCGAAGTGAAGGAAGCCGATTTTAGATAACACTACCGGCCTGGTGTCTACATCATCGCTGCCGCAGAAGGGGGCCGGGTAGGAGAAATCCATCCCCATCCGGATGACTCCTGCCACCAGGCTGATCATAAGACCCCAGAACGCACCCTGATAACAGAAGCAATTTTGTTCTCATACTCCCAGTTTATCAAGGTGTACACTGTACATGATAAATAACTCCATTATGTACCACACTCAAATTACCTTTAAGTTTAATGAATTAATGTCGTCTGTAAAAAGTATGTAATACTGTCCTGAGCAGCTAATATATTCATGCAGTGATGAAATGTTAACACGAGAGCTAAAACAATGAAAAATGACTTCTAAAAATCTACTTTGTTTTGTATTGTTTGATTGTTTGGTGTTTAAAGCCGTACTCAGCCAGCTGTAAATAATCGAGTCTAGACCAGACAATCCAGTGATTTGTATTATGAGCATCGATCCACGCAATTGGGATACGATGACATGCATCAACCAAGTCAGCGAGCCTGACCAGCCGATCCCGTTAGTCGCCTCTTACGACAAGCATAGTCAATGCTGAAGACCTATTCTATACCGGTACATCTACTATCCACTTGCACTATAGGCACGTGACTTGCCAGTATTTCTTCAATAATGACTTGAAATATACAAATACAGATACCTGAGATTATTTCATGTGATATTTCTATATAACAGCCTTTGATATTTCACTCTAAACCTGATTTATCTGCCTTCGATAAACGAGTGAGTGAGTTGGGTTTAACGCCGCTTTTAACAGTATTCCAGTTAAATCACGGCGTGTCAGCTTAATGTGGGAAGAAAGTCCGAAGTGATTCAGGTCTCAGACGTTTACCACTTCGGTGAAACCCACGAACCCGGGTATCGTGCTGACAAACCTAGAAACATAATCGGGGCGAACCGTGATTCGAACCCACAATCAAAGGTTTCTGGCCCGCCCAAGGGACGCAACTCTGCGCAGCGAATCGCGGCGCCTTAGACGACTGGGCCACCCGTGCCCCCTCGATAAACGAACAGCTGTTATGAATATATTTCATAAGATAACAGCTAAAACGATTTCAATATAATACACGGCTGTTTGTTTGTTGTTGTTGTTGTTGTTGTTGTTGTTGTTGCACAATATTCCAGGTATATGTGACGGCGTTATGTAAGTAATCGAGTTTAAACCAAAACATCCAGTGATTTACATCATGACGATCGATCCAAACAATGGGATACGATGACATGCAATCAATCCAAGTCCTCAGATCAATTTAGTCGTCTCCTACACGGGCTGCTGGGGACCTATATTCTTACCCGGAAATTCCACTGCAGGGATGTTCATTAATCAAGTAATTAAGACAAGACCTTGTTAAACAAGAAAATGTCGATATTTATGTGACCGTACTAAAAACTTAGTAAGAACCGTGTTCTAATATCATAAATTATTCTTGGACTTCTAAATATGACTTTATCTTTGGTGAAACTGGGCTTCCTTACAGACAGTTAACAACACTGACCACGTTGCGCTCTATCAAACTCCACAAGAATTGAATTGAACTCTTAAATAGCTAATTGACATGTGTTTTATTCAACTTAAAATATTTTAAATCTTTCTCGGAAGAAGGAATATTGAAGAACATGATCCAGGATATTCCAGAAAAGTCCTGTCTCCGTGATGCATGCATCTGGCAATAAGAGAGAAAACTGACTGACTGACTGACTCACTCAATCGCTCGCCCACCCACCCACCCAGCCACTCACTCACTCACCCACTAACACGTCCCCCACTCACTCACTCACTCACTCACTCATATCCCACCCGCCCACCCTCCCACTCACTCACTCACTCACCGGCTCGGTCGTCCTGTTCCAGAAGAGTGCGAGGAGGAAGATGCAGGTCCAGGGCGGGGCGGTGTAGGATGACACGGCCTGGAGGTAGCTCCACAGTTGACCACTCTGCGCCGCTTGAAGGATGGGAAGCCACAGGATGCTGATGCCGATCAACACCAGCACACACACTCGCCCCACGATCATCAGCTCCGACTGGGACGCCTTCGTCCTGAACCTCTTCCAGATGTCCATGGTGAACATACTGCTGGCGCTGTTGAAGATGGAGGTGAGGGAGCTCATGAGGGCGGCGAGGAGGGCGGCTAGCATCACCCCCTTCAGACCTGTTAACACGTGTGGTAGAGTTTATCAGTTGATTAGGACGTCCTGGGTTTAATCGGGGACTACCCGTCCTGGATCTTCCATACAAATCCCGGATGACACCCAGCAGACGACCAAGATGAGTATTTAGCTGACATAATTGATGACTTCGAAACTGGTGGGGGGTAAATATCTTGAAATCTTTAATCAGTGTCTGTTTCATTATTCATGCTTTTTTATTTATTTATTTATTTATTTTTATTTATTATTATTATTATTATTATTATTTATTTTTTTATGGGGGGGGGGGGGGCCTTAATCTGAATAAAACTGTCTGTCTGTTATTTCTGTGACTATGTACAGATATGACATGCACAGATACATCAGTGGTTGATAGCTTGAGCACCAATCAATCTGGGTCAGATCATAGGTAAATGTCGGTATATTAAATGTGTCCCGAAATAAAACTATAAACATCTTCATAATCCATACTGGTCACCTGTGATAGCGTATCTATGGAATTATAGAAGGGACATTGTCGCCCTTACAAATACAAGCAAAAAGTGTCGAAATTAACCAAAGCGCGACAACGCAACAATGCGACAAATGACCGAAATGTCGCGTTGTCGCGCTTTGGTTAATTTTGACACTTTTTGCTTGTCATTGTAAGGGCGACAATGTCCCTTCTGTGGTTCCATACTTTTCAGTGGCAAAGCTTGGCAATGGGTTCTGTTCTGTATGTGACAGAGACAGGTGTCAACTCTACTGCAGCACCGTTCAAAATTTGAATAACCCACCAAAGATACAAAACAACATAAATGGCAAGCTGGAACATATTGCGGATACTTGATATAAAAATGTATATTCCCCAGACTTGGAGAAATAAGATAAGTGCACCCACCTACGGGCATTTTTCTGAGGACCAGAAGTGGGTAGGCGATGTTGGTGCAGCCGGCTCGGTTCTGACAGACTCGCTCGCAGTGGTCGGGGTCGGCGCAAGCAACATCATCTACGAGGAAATGTTGAACATGTACACGGACGCCAGCACGCATCTATTGTCAGGGTCGGGGTGGTGGTATACGTCCTGTTGGTCTGTGATTGTGCGTATATGTGTCATGCCTGTTCAATATAGAACATTTTCAGATGCTGCAATATTGCAGCCATGTCCAATAATTCAACGTGTCTCCCTCAACTAACTGGGCTAGAACACACAGTGGCCGGGCGTTATGTTAGGCTACACACCGGGTAGAGGGGTATATATGAGACACAACTCACCAGGGTAGAGGGGTATATATGAGACACAACTCACCAGGGTAAGGGGGTATATACGAGACACAACTCACCAGGGTAGAGGGGTATATATGACATACAACTCACCAGGGTAGAGGGGTATATATGAGACACGACTCACCAGGGTAGAGGGGTATATATGAGACACAACTCACCAGGGTAGAGGGGTATATATGAGACACGACTCACCAGGGTAGAGGGGTATATATGAGACACGACTCACCAGGGTAGGGGGGTTTATATGAGACACGACTCACCAGGGTAAAGGGGTATATATGAGACACAACTCACAAGGGTAGAGGGGTATATATGAGACACGACTCACCAGGGTAGAGGGGTATAGATGAGACACAACTCGTCAGGGTAGAGGGGTATATATGAGACACGACTCACCAGGGTAAAGGGGTATATATGAGACACAACTCACCAGAGTAGAGGGGTATATATGAGACACGACTCACCAGGGTAGATGGGAAAAAAAGACACAACTCACCAGGGTAGAGGGGTATATATGAGACATGACTCACCAGGGTAGAGGGGTATATATGAGACACGACTCACAAGGGTAGAGGGGTATATATGAGACACAACTCACCAGGGTAGAGGGGTATATATGAGACACGACCCACCAGGGTAGAGGGGTATATATGAGACACAACTCACCAGGGTAGAGGGGTATATATGAGACTCCACTCACAGGGGAAAAGGGGTATTTGAGAGACACAACTCACAGGGGGAGGGGGGTATTCGGGAGACACAACTCACAGGTTGGGGGGGGGGGGGGGGTGTACTGGGGGGACACAACTCACCGGGAAAGAGGATTCGGCTGATCATGCCGGGGACAATCCACAGGAAGAAGTTGAAGATCTTCAGAATGGCTGCGAACACGGAACCACCTTTGGCATGACTCAAGTTTTTGGCGGAGAGACATCTTTGTACCATGATCTAGAGGCAGAAGGTATACAGTGTGTCAAATACGAATAATCAAATTCAAATGTCTGCTTAATTTTGGTTATCTATTGCCGCCTCACGCCTCAATTCATCAATCTTCATCTCTCAAGGGGGCACGGGTGGCCCAGTCGTCTAAGGCGCCGCAAAATTTCATTAGCCAATCATATAGAGGATGGCCAATGATATAGAGGATGATATAGGCCATGTCTCTATATCACACCTGCATGATGTTGTCCAAAGAGAAATTTCTCTTTGTGTTCCCTACCTGAATGCCACACCTTTTTCTTACCCCGCCACACCCACCTGATCAGTGCACCACACCCACAGGCCGAGGGTGGTAAGCCCGAACACGGTGCCCGTCCAGGGAAGGTCTCCTTCTACTGGGTCCCTAAAGATGTGGAAGAAGTCTTTCCTGGGCATCCCACACTGGTACTTCTCTGGGTCCGCCAGAGTGTAGTTGGTAGCGGCCGTGACGTACTTCCGCATCATCTGTTCCCAGCCACCAACCTCCATGAAACCTGGAGAGCATTGTGCGCTGTACTCATATGTCTGTTTGTTTGTTTGTTATTTATCGCCACATTCAGCAACATTCTAGCTTTATTAAGAAGACTGTAAATATTCGAGTCGGGCCCTGACAATCCAGGGATTGATATTATGAGCAACGATCAACGCCGTGGGGTACGATGACACGCAATCAGACAAGTCACCGAGTCTGAGTGAGTGAGTGAGTGAGTGAGTGAGTGAGTATGGTTTTACGCCGCTTTTAGCAATATTCCAGCAATATCACGGCGGGGGACACCAGAAATGGGCTTCACACATTGTACCCATGTCGGGAATCGAACCCGGGTCTTCGGCGTGACGAGCGAACGCTTTAACCACTAGGCTACCCGACCGCCCCGTCACCGAGTCTGACCACCCGATTCATTTAGTTACCTCTTTGGGCCGGCATAGGTTGCTGGGGACCGTCCCAACCCAGAATATTTACGTTGAAGAAGATTCTGAATGTATATTTATCTCAACTGGAAGTTAAATCTCTACCTGAAATAAATACCTTGAAGAGTTGATAATTTAAAGATATATTTACGGGGATCAAATTTGCGTAAATGTTTGTTATTTTCGAATCCTTTTTAACGAAGTTGCAATGTTGCGATGCAAAGCAATTAATAATATACGAAACTAAAACTATGTGAAGGTCAAGGCCGGGAAGAGTGTCATTGACGTACTGATGATCATGAGGATGAAGGACGCGATGAGGAGGATGATGGTCTGCAGGGTGTCCGTGTAGATCACAGCAGCAAGGCCGCCTGAAAATAACGATGTATAAAAACTTCAAAAAAAGATCGAAAAATTGATCGAAATTGATCGAAAAGCGTTGTTTATGTAAATACAAGGTAGCCTATTTCGACGAAATAAATTACTGCAAGGAAGGCGACGATTCTCGCCTACAGTGGCAACCTACCAGCTACGGTGTAGATGGCAGTGACGCCGAGGATGACGACGACACACACGTATAGATTCAGCCCCAGCAGCTGTTGGATGAAGATGGCGCCCGAGTACACCTCAGCCTGTGTGACAAGATATACATCACAGTGTTATCAATTAAAACAATTTATACTTTTATTATATGCACTCCCTAGTAAGAGCTCTAGATAGCCATTTACTATACAGTGAAGTCATGTTATGTAATGTTCCCACTGAAATCAACAGGAAAAGCATTTATCCGGAATAACGAAACATAGTTTCGGATTAATTTATATATGTAGTGTCCCTTTTCAGTAACTGTCCGGTAACATGTCCATAAATGTGTCATGAATGAGAGAATGAATATTGGTTAACGCCGCAATCATTTCAGCTACATAACGGCGGCATGTAAACCGGATGATCAGGCTCGCTGACCTGGTTGATGCATGTCATAGTATCCCAATTCCGTATGTCGATGCTCATGAAATCAATCACTGGATTGTCTGGTACAGACTTGATTATTGTTGAGTGCGGCGTTAAACAACAAACAAACAATCAATCAAAATCGAACTCCCACTTCGACAAGCATGAAGTATCGACCGGGAATCTCCACAGGGTAGATGCGACGTTTTGTTTGTTAGTTTGTTTAACGCCAGCTATACGACAGCGGTCGAGTCTGGAACAGGCAATCCAGCATCAACCAAGTCAGCGAGCCTGACCACCCGATCCCGTCAGTCGCCTCTTACGACAAGCACGGGTTGCTGAAGATAAATTCTAACCCAAATCTTTGCGGGTAGATGTGTCGTGGATTTACCGTTATTCTGGTGAGGATGTACAAGATGAGGGCCAAGCCAGACAGGTAGACTCTCAGTCTCCTCCCCCCAAACCTCTTCTTCAGGTACTCCGGCATTGTGAACGCCTGTACAACAGAAAACACTATTATTTACACAGTTATCGAACGCGCATTGAGAAAATCACCAGTGGGTGAGTGAGTTTGATTGAAGCCGCTTTGAACAGTATTTCAGTTACATCACGGCATGTCAGCTTGACATGGGAGGAAAGCCCAAACTGATGCAGGTCTCAGACGTTTACCCCTTCGGTGAAGCCCACGAGCACGGGTATGCTCTTGACAAACCTAGAAACAATCTCAGGTCGAACGTGTATTCGAGCCCCCAGTCATAGGTTTCTGGCACCCCAGTGAAAGTCCGTTAATCCCACCGTCGTTCTTCCAATGGAATATCCTTGATTAACCGATGTCCGGAACAACGAATCACGGTAAGTTGTGATATGGGTTTAGTTACCGACAGAAATAGTCTGGATAGCAAGGATTCTGGATTAACGGGGTCGGTTATCGAGGATTTACTGGAGTTCCGATAATTAATATTATGATCAGTTCATATAATTTCACAAATGATAGATTCTGCCGTTTCAATTGCATTAAAATCAATTCTTAGTTTTGCTACCGCACAACAAAGCTCAGATGAAGATTAGATATGATCTTAATGAGATTGCAGACATTTCGAAGTCATTTCAAAATTAACATTTTGCAAAGTATATATATATTGTTTTTGATATATTGTTGTATTTAAAAGAATACCTTAATCCCGGGGAACCCAATGTTCCACTTACAACGGCTATAGCCGTATAGGAACGATGTGGTAGCCTAGTGGTAGCTTGCGTTCGTCATGAAAGCCTGGGTTCGATTCCTCATATGGATGGAATGTGTGAAACACATTTCTAGTGTCCCCCGCAGTGATATTGCTGAAATATTGCTAAAACCCCACTCACTCACTTACAACAGCTGTCAAGGTCGGACTCTCAGCCGGCGGACAGAGGCATTGGTCACCACTCGCCCCTTTTCGTAACCTGCCCTGGAATAACACGAGTTGGTGACGAATGGGACAGAGGGTCCGGCATGAGCATTCAGAATGCTTACGCAGGTGATAGAGTGATGGTGGTGGTGTTGCTTACCCCGCTGGCGACGTAGACAGGAACGAAGATCCAGCCGAGAGCAATCAGCAGGTAGATGGCCTGACAGACACAACAAGCAGAAATAACACAAAGTATCAGAAAAAACCTTATTGACAATCATTATAAACGGCTTGAAGCTGCATGATTTATAGCATACCCATTAGCCGTAAACAGTGTCAAGAAACTGGTGCAAAAGTGGAAGGAAGCCATAAAACGTTTAATATAAGTAACTTTATTTGTTACTTTGTCTTAAAAACTACATTTCAATAAAAATCAAGCCCATGCCACCGACATTAATCCATGATAATCTATTATACACATATCCCTATGTGGAGCTACACATAATATTCACACGAACCTTGTTTTTAGCTACAGACAATTTATTTTACACATGGACCCTGTGTGGAGCTACAGACAATCACTTATAAACATGGACCCTGTGTGGAGCTACATACAATCATTTATACACATGGACCCTGTGTGGAGCTACATACAATCACTTATACACTTGGACCCTGTGTTGAGCTATAAACAATCACTTAGTCACATGGACCCTGTGTGGAGCAACATACTATCATTTATACACATGGACCCCGTGTGGAGCTACATACAATCACTTATACACTTGGACCCTGTGTTGAGCTATAAACAATCACTTAGTCACATGGACCTTGTGTGGAGCTACAGATAACCACTTATACACATGGACCCTGTTTGGAGCTACAGATAATCACTTATACACATGCACCCTGTGTGGAGCTACGTACTATCATTTCTACACATGGACCCTGTGTGGAGCTGCAATACCTACATGCCACTCGTATATCGCACATGCAAAGCCGCCTGCCGCCGCCGTTCCGGCCAGACCGATGAACATGGGGGCGCCAACGTTGCTGGCGTAGATGGACGCTCCCACCTGAGGACAATCATAAAATTCCCATCTTTCAACAAGTCATATAGATTGAAATGTTTTTCCGATTACAAAACTATAACTAAAAACTAATTAAGACTTTTTTCATAAAATTTCAGAGGAGTATCTACTAATGTTTGTCCGCAGTAGACACAACAAACAAATGCCATGATTGTTTTAGTACGGATAACCTACACAAAAACATGTTTGTACTGCATTTGTATGATAAGTTCCTTACCAAATATACATATATCGTGTATATGTTTGTCGGAGATATATATAAAAGGGCCTATTAGTGAGTGAGGTGGTTTTAACGCCGCTTTTAACAGTATTTTGTTGAATCACGGCGTGCCAGCATGATGCAGGGGAAAGCCCGAACTGATGGACAGCATACGTTTGACTCTTTGATGAAATCCACGAGCATGGTGCTCGGATGAACATAGGATTCGAACCCATGATCTTTGGATTCGGGCCCTACTAAGGGACGTAACTATGTAGAGAATTGTGAAGGCCATGCTGGAGTTGGTGTTGTACTGCTTGCTTGGCTTACACCAACATACATTTCCTGCTATGTTAAAACGTGTGCATGTCAGCTTACACAGCGCAGACCCGTGAAGATCCGGGTTCAGTAACCCATGCTTGCCGTAAGAGGCGACTATGCTTATCGTAAGAGGCGACTAACGGGATCGGGTGGTCAGGCTCGCTGACTTGGTTGATGCATGTTATCGTATGTCAGATAATTAACGCAGGTCGTAAATGTGAACAGTTTGTTTGTAAAGCATGGTGATGTCTGACCAATGACATAGCGTCTGACTAGTGGTCACCAGCAGTGTCAATTTAAGATTCCATCCCACGAACAGCTGCTCCTGACACAGTTAAGGTGCTGTCTGACCAATGACATAGCGTCTGTCTAGTGGTCACCAGCAGTGTCAATTTAAGATTCCATCCCACGAACAGCTGCTCCTGACACAGTTAAGGTGCTGTCTGACCAATGACATAGCGTCTGTCTAGTGGTCACCAGCCGGGTCAATTTAAGATTCCATCCCACGAACAGCTGCTGAGGGACATAACTCCCCACCGCCCTTCCTAGCCCATGTCAATGACAGCTTCTCAACGTCCGACAACCACATCGGAGTAGACATTTTAATATCAACCCACTTGCATATTTATCTAAACGGCGCATGCCATTATGAAAGCCACGTCATTAGTCGTGGGCATGTAAGAACATGTATGTATGTATGTTCAAGTGTGTATGTATGCAGAATATGCCCTCAAGGGTCACGGGGGACGAATTGATCAACAAAAGGCATTGTTATTACCGCAGGGTCAAAGAGCTTGCCGAAATATCACATTGCGCCAATGCGTGTTCTCACAGAGATCACTGAATGTTTGTATACGAAGATGAAGACTGCATTGCGTTTGCACAACATAGTGTGTACTTTCAAGTTTATTAAAGAAATCAGCCGTACATAGGAAGAACTGTCTGATCTCGGAACGAACGACCTTGGTAATATACTACCAGGTATAATTGACTATTCCTTGCGTGTTTCCAAGCTACAAAGTTGAAATGCGGCGAGTGATGGTTTCGGGGATTTAACAGTATGATGTCGTGTAATAAACCTATATTCTGACTTCTACACATTGCATTGTTTTTTCAGTTCTTTTTCAAATTGATGAAACGCTCACTTTCGTCATGAGTTTAACATCTGTAGTGTATGCATGAAGGCGTGTGGCCTTCGCTGTGGTTTGTTTGTACTTCTAAACATGGCTTTCCAGTGCCGCAATTCAAGCAGCAGGAAAACGTCATGTCTTTGGTTACAGGCATAAAGTTCTTATTCATTTATAACGAAGTAACTACACAAACCAATTAAGAGATTGAGAGCTTGAAAAAGAGTTTATATAATGATGATTATGATTATGATGATGATGATTACTATTGTTGTTGTTGTTGTTCTTCTTCTTCTTCTTATTATTATTATTAGTAGTAGTAGTAGTAGTAGTAGTAGTAGTAGTAGTAGTAGTAGTAGTAGTAGTAGTATACCGCAGGTATCCAGGTACTAGTATCTGCTCAAGTGCGGGTTTTTGCATTGTTCCCCGACAAATGGATCCGTTCGCATTCCAGTTATTATTCTCAACTCCCTGTTGAGTATGCAACCCAAGCTGCTTAGGGGCAGATGTTTTTTTACATTAGGCTCTGCTAATATAAGTCAATGTTTCCCTGTAAAGAATGAATGATGTTTCTAGGTTTATCAACACTATAATCGTGCTCGAGGATTTCACCTAAATGGTAAAAGACTAATACCTGATTATCTTCAGGCTGTCCTGTCACATCAAACGAACACGCTGTCAAGTATCTTAAATACTGTATGAAGCGGTGTTTATCTCACTCACTCACTCACAGCATGGTGGCGCACTCGGTGAAACCCACGAGTAAAGGTATAGTGTTGCAAGGCCAAGCAACATAATCGGGGCGAATCCTATATTGTGTTGACATGTATGACTCAAATGTCTTCTGTTATTCAATCGACGTCAATATCTCCCTGGAAATGAACACGTGAGATATGTACAACGTGACTAAGACACTTGAACGATGTCAGGAATACAAACACTGTCAAGTGTCTTCTCAAAACGTATGGCCTTGGCGCGTCCACATGGACAGCCCGGTCTTCTGTGGCTGTGTTAACATCTGCACGACAATAACCTGCTAAGTGTTAGCGTACACAACTCCACGGACAGCGGATGATACTGGGTCTTTGTATGCTTGGTACGTAATGATAAGATGAGGTGAGGTGAAATTGGGTTGAACGTCGCGTCCAAGATTATTGCACTTATATAGCGACGTACACGTGTGTGTGTGCGTGTGTGTATGTGGCTGCTTGTACTAGTTCGGACTGATGCCGATTTATAGTGCTAGCACACTGAGATACCATACCGCAGTTTAACATGATCGATACCCCACTCAGACACAGTATACTGACTCCGAGCCGACCAGTCCTTGTTTTAGCCCTTTAATGCCGAGCGCCAGACAGGGTAACAACAAGTACCTTCTTTTAACGCGTTTTGGTATAACGCGGCCGGGGATCGAACCCCGGACCTTCCGCTCTCCGGGCCGACCACTAGAACACGGAGGCGGTCTCGTAATGATAACACGCTGTTAATCACTTTATTGCATTGTTAATATCTCTAACCACTCCTAACAAATGTAGACATCGGGGTTGTCGCTCTCAGAAAGAGATCGCATATCGGAGTAAATGATTTGATGTTAATGAAATTATCATTTTCATATATAAGTTTATATTTACGTCATCTGCGTCGAAGCTTCTACATTTTAAGTAAGAACGAGCGAAGGATTTAGAGCAGCATATCTCATTTCGGTATCTCGGAAACGAACATAAAGGGTCACTTCCGAATGGAATATAATAAAGGCCGATATAATATATGAAGTTGACGTCTGATCGACCCGAGTACCTAGCATTCGTCATATAATTTGGGGGTCAAAGTTAGCTCAGGGTTCACCTGGAGGGGTTGTGAAAACTTTTCGCAGGGAGGTATCAAGTGAGAGATCTGATTTTAAAGAGACTAGAAAGAAACACACTTGTATTAATGATTAATATGCAGACTGATGTGTATGACGGTCATTCTGGTGTAATTGTACTCTATCTATACTTCTGTCACTAACGTTTGAACGGAATGACCACGTGACTATCACGTGTAGTATACAGGTGATTGGATGGTCTATGTCACGTGACTTACCGGAAACCAATGCATCTCCTTTCCAGCCAGGAAATACCCGGCTGTACTGTCTCTGTTTGGTCGGAATGTGGACTGAAAAAGAAAAGGGAAGATCTTAGTTTGGTATTTACTAACGTTATGTTGGTTACATTTGGATAACCATGATCCCTCGATATGCCTACACTGTTCTCTTAGTTAACGAGGGCAAGGTGTAGCCTAGTGGTTAAAACGTTCGCTCGTCACGCCAAAGGCCCAGATTCGATTCCCTACATGTGTGAAGCCCATTTCTGGTGTACCCCGCCGTGATATTGCTGGAATATTGCTGAAAGCGGCGTAAAACGATACTCACTTAATTAACGTGCGCTCACAGTCTGGATTTACAGTCCAGGACTAGCACTAATCTCCTCCAATGTGACTGCATTGGACTGACTGTCAGAAAGTTGGATTACTAGAAGCATTAAACAACTCCTAATACACACTGAAAGCTTGAGGTGATGGGGGAGGGGGGAGATTTGGGCATCCATTTTCGTGTCAAGCCGTTAGAACAGATTCAATCTTAACAATTTGAAGGACACACTCAAGAACATGCACTTATGAACCACTGCTATGTGCATATTGAAAAAAACATTGTTACGCAGCCATAGTGTTTATGTGAATGAGAGATCCAATTAAACATTTACAACTATGATACTGAGACATGTCACATCTTCCTAAAATCCACTCATTAATCAAACAATTTCATCAGGTGCTGTCAGTGCTATAAGCTCCGACGTTCATACAGTTTAGCTCTCACTCTATGAACGTTCAGAAGTTCTTAATAAATTGCTGGGGAAAAATAAGTTTAAACTTGAAAATTGGATTTGATACAAAAAATACTAACGTCAGCTAAACGTTCCTAGGATGAAATAGTCGCCGAAACACTGCAAACTTAAGGTCCTATGATACCCGTATCAAATACAATACATATATAAACAACGGATCGATATTTCTTGTTTGTCTCATTTTAGTCACCTTCAAACATGGGTGTATACTTTTTTTTGCCCGACAGTTTAGTGAGTGAGTAAGTTAGTTTAACGCCGCCTTCAACGGCGTGTCAGCTTGATGTGGTAGCATAGCCCGAAGTGATGCAGGTCTCAGACAATTACCGCTTTGGTGAAACCCACGAGCACGGGTATGGTGCTGACAGACCTAGAAACATGGGTGCGATTCTGTATTCGAACCAACGATCATAAGTTTCTGGCGTGACCAAGGGACGCAACTCTGCGCAGCGAATTGCTGCGCCTTAGACGCCTGGGTTACCAGTGCCCCCTATACAAGGTAAAGCGTAAGTAAATGATCTTTTAGAAATATTCCAGCAGTATCACAGCGGGTGATATCAAATTGTACCAATGAGGGGAAATGAACTCGTTAAACTGAACTTGTTAAAGCGTGACGGGCGTAAGATTTAACAACTAAACTACCCCACCGCACGTTAAGATAAACGGGATATATGATAGACTACCACATATATCAGTGCTCTATAAATCTATTGTCTCCGATCACTCACACTGACATGACCGACTAGTGTACCGACAGATCTAATGCATGATCCAGTTGGCTTTGTACAGTCACGTACAGCGATGATATATGCCTGCCAGTCTTGACCGATGTGTACACTATGTGGGGAGGGCCGTCGTGGAGATTAACGCGCCCATATTATCTATACTACAGGAATCATACCACATCAAACGTCTTGGGTGGAATTCGGATTATCTTTGTTCAAATTTGTACGACGTGCTTCAATTCGTCAATTGTCAACGTTCATGACTGATATCATGATAAAGGCAATTCGTTCAACATGGTGTTCAACAGATCTTCAAAACTTAGGAAGGTTTTCTTTTTTCAAAATATAAAGATATATTTGTATTTTGTTATAGAATAATTTAACCCAATTTCCCCAAAATCAAAAGTTTGAACAATGTTTGTGCTGACTTCAACAACTCATATCCAATCGCTTCAAAGATTAATGCGTATTAAAACTATTAATCGCTGACAATACATCATAGTGAAAAACCCGATTCAAAAGTCATGAATATGATGAAAATGCATTTTAAATAAATAAATAAAACATATGATTAAACTGGTATAAAATAACTCAACACTTACCCATAATCCAACGGACAGCACCAAGACAAAGTAGACTGCAATGGAGACATAGTCCCCCGCCTCTAGAACTTCCACCATCTTTCTAAACCTCTGACACCATTTAATTACAAAATGCAAAAACTGACCAAAAGCACCAGCCCTGTCTCCTGCAGGTCGAGACGAGCAGCCGGGATATTCTGAAAGCGACGCGTTCGTCAATCTACCTGTCAGGTTTGGGTCATTTTACGGTAAGTAAACAGGCAAACATTGGTACCGGTGTCCGAGATCCCAGGGTGGCCTTTGGGGGTGGAGGAGCCTGGTAACTTAAAGCTCGGAACACGAGAAGACGCCGTGCATTATCATATGTGTTGCCCAGACAAATATGGTCTGTATATTTTAAAGGGATTTGCCCTTGAATCTTGGGTAGATTTCACCGACCCAGAAACAAGCAGCTGTACATGCAAATGGTGACCCATCTATTTACTAAATCTAGCTTACACAAGTTCCTCAATGGATCGGTATCATGTTATTTACATACTCAATAAGTTTGTGCATTGTCATGGTGTTTGAGCAATGACAAGTAAGACAACAAAGACGAATGTTATTATTTTATAACCGCGTTATGCCCACTCATCTGGAGCCTCTGCATAAATTACATCCTAAACCACGCCCATTGTATCGGAACTGGCAAATGAAATGCAGACTTATATGTCGTTCACCTACGAGCATCCCCATGCGTGGATTAAACCAGACAGAGGGGTCTTTTATTGCATTGAAAGCAACCTTGAGATGACCTTTCGTTGCATAAAGCTTCAGGCTGAAATAAGAATACATATGTTTCAGAGAATGTCAGATTTCATACGGTCGAAATGCCCGACTGTTCAGAAGTTACAGTACATCATTGACACTATATTATATTCTCCTGTATAAACTAAATTCAACTAAATTCATAAATGTTAAAATATCTTCAACTGATATAAATATAAATTCCGTGTATGCGTGTTCGTGCGTGTGTATTTGGTGGTGGTGGGTGGGCGGGTAAGAGGAGTTGTGATACGGTTTTCTATTTTGGAAAAACACCTGTCGGCTATCAGGGTCCTTGAGGGGGGTATCCTCCCAAAACGTAGACCTGCCAAAACGCAGACCCGTTAAAACAACACTCGTTATGGCTGGTTGCATCAGCAATAAGTACCCTGTACGGTTACCCGCTAGAAAAGGTGAAATGCACTCAGCTGAAAATGTGGCTCTACCGGCAATAGCCATTTCTGAAATGTGGCTCTCCCGGCTAGACACCCCCTGTACCCTTGATTAAGTAAAATGGAATCACCCATGTAACAAGAAAGAAAGCTGGGTAGATTTCACAATTTTTTATTCAAATGTTATTTCATTGTCATTTACGATCATCAGTCATTTTCACTTGTTCATCATCAGAGGACCAACTGCATCCAGGTACTGAAGGGGTGTCTTTTCACGGCGATGAAGCTGTTCCTTGAGTCGGACAAGGCGATGATCCGGACTGACGAGGGTCCACTGTATGACTGTCTTCACTGAACAATATCACTGCGAGTTATTCACTGATCGGAAGAATGATAAAGTTTACCAAGCCCCTTACACCAATATTGCTGTTGGATTCCCTTCTTTGATACCGCGGTGCACATTACCGCACTGGCAGCTGGGAACAGGATGAGGTGACGTGACAGATTTATGACAGTCAGTGCGGTGTGCAGACATACATAAACGTGGGAGCAACATTCCGTCAGATCCCACAAAAATATGAATAGGAGCCACACTGTTATGTTGTGAAACATTCAATTGTACATAAACACACAGGTGTGTGTTTCGTTCAGGAACTTACACATATAACTGAATTGCATTCTTGCCTTTCAAGAGAAACTTTCATACAATATACATTAAGATTCGCCTACTTAGATACGTGACATCTCAAAAGACACCCACACAGACAAGTATGCTGTTTCAAGTTGCAAATGGACAGTCGTGTATGAAGATGCACAAACACTTATGTACACTATTATTATTTATGTACACACTCACACGTATGTATGATTATCAAGATGTACACACACATATGTATGATACATCAAGAGTGAGTGAGTTGGGTTTAACGCCGCTTTTAACAGTATTACAGTTATAACGCGGCGTGTCAGCTTAATGTGGGAGGAAAGCCCGAAGTGATGCAGGTCTCAGACGTTTACCACCTCGATGAAACCCACGAGCACGGGTATGGTTCACACATATGTATGATATATCAAGATGTACACACACATATAAGTATGATATATCAAGATGTAAACACAAGATGTACACACATTTATGTATTATATATCTATCTACACACATATATATATTATATATCAAGATGCACTCACCTATGAATTATATATCAAGATGCACATATATATTCTATATCGAGATGTACACATCTATGTATTATATATCAAGATTCACATATATATTATATATCAAGATGTACACACCTATGAATTATATATCAAGATGCACATATATATTATATATCAAGATGTACACATCTATGTATTATATATCAAGATGCACATATATATTATATATCAAGATGTACACACCTATGAATTATATATCAAGATGCACATATATATTTTATATCAGGATATACACACCTATGAATTATATATCAAGATGCACATATATATTATATGTCAAGATGTACACACATCTATGCATGATATATCAAGATGCACATATATTATATATCAAGATGTACACACATCTATGCATGATATATCAAGATGCACACATGTATGGATTATATATCAAGATGAACATATATATTATATATCAAGATATACACACATCTATGTATGATATATCAAGATGCACACACCTATGAATTATATATCAAGATGCACATATATATTATATATCAAGGTGTACACACATCTATGTATTATATATCAAGATGCACATATAGTATACATCAAGATGCACACACCTATGAATTATATATCAAGATGCAAATATATATTATATATCAAGATATACACACATCTATGTATGATATATCAAGATTCACACACCTATGAATTATATATCAAGATGCACATATATATTATATATCAAGGTGTACACACATTTATGTATTATATATCAAGATGCACATATATCATATATCAAGATGCACACACCTATGAATTATATATCAAGATGCACATATATATTATATATCAAGATGTACACACATCTATGTATAATATATCAAGATGCACACACCTATGAATTATATATCAAGATGCACATATATATTATATATCAAGATGTACACACCTATGTATTATATATCAAGATGCACGTATACGTATAATATATCAAATGTCCATATATATTATATATCTAGATGTACACACATCTATGTATTATATATCTATTTACACACATACATATGTATAATATATCAAGATGTACTCACAGGGGCGGTCGAGTAGCCAAGTAGTTAAAGAGTTCGTTCGTCACGCCAAAGACCCGGGTTCGATTCCCGACATGGGTACAAACAATGTGTGAAGCCCTTTTCTGGTGTCCCCCCCCCCCGCCGTGATATTGCTGGAATATTGCTAAAAGCGGCGTAAAACCATACTCACTCACTCACTCACTCAAGATGTACACAGCTATGTATTATATATCAAGATGCACGTATACGTATAATATATCAAGATGTCCATACTAAACGAGCTCCCGTGTAATGCCATTTTTATGAAACCAGTGAATAGTTTTGGTATTTGACGAGCGAAAGCGTGGGTGAGCTTTGGCATTACACAATGTGTAATACAGCTGTATGTTAATAAAACAGGTCCTCTTCACGGGCAAGTAATAAATATCTATTTACACACACACATACATATGTATAATGTATCAACATGCACACATATGTGTATAACATATTCTAAAGTGTTAACCAGAGACTAATAAGAAACTGCCATTTGAATGTCCCCAATATAGTATTACTACTCCAAGTGCACACACACACACGGTCACGTATTTTACCTTAATCGCCTACAATGACAGCTGAGCATGCCGTGAACGTGATTTCCTTGACAACCTGTGGGTGATCTATTAATCAAGATATGTCAACAAATGTACACAAAGGAAGCACAAAATAAAATATGTATAAACAAAGTTTTATTGTATACATAATCGGATTTAAAGCCAAAAAATGAAATCTGTTTTCAGGATACGTAGTGCAATGCTTTGATCAAGGACGAGAGCTGAAGTATGTAAGTTAGAAGTTCACCAACCGAAACACTCACAAATACTATATTTTTATGGGTACCATGTACATGTACTTAATTTTTGTCATATTTCAGTAAGAAGTAACCAAAATTTTACTTCATATCACCTCTTTTCGTTTATCTAATTTGTCGCTGATTGTGTAATTTGTCGTTGAAAAGAAACGTTATCTGTAACATTAGAACATTTCCACCCGGGTGAGGTTGAACGAGTGAGCTATAGGAAGCGTCTGTAAAATGCTACATTCCGCACGAGGAACAGTTTACACGATCTTGTCGGTAGGGCCCGCTTAGTGCGACGGAGAACCACAGGGTGCGGAGCTGTGAAGGTGTTATTCACTTTCCAGTTATCGCTTTTCATCAAACTACATCCACATCTTATAGGGTCAACGAATTGGCTCTGTCACAATCTTAAATACATGAAAATGAAATTTCATTCGGTTGAACAGAGTGAATTAGACTGAAATTGATTTCTCTTGAAGGTAAAGCCAGATATAAAGGGAGGTTATTCCCGGTAGAGGGCGCAACCGTGTGGGGTATATATAGGAATTGTAAAGCCCGGGTAGTTCAATCTCTCCTGTGGTGTCGCCGTTACAGTGCGGTCTGTTTATTTTATGTTTGTCCTGTGCGTTATTGGTTATGAACATTTTCTGTTGTCAGGTGTTGGCAGTCTTGCTGCAAGACGAATGTCGTCACAGTGACGAGTATGGTTCTGAACCACAAAGCATGGATGGTACCTGGTACATGCATGTATCTTGCAGTAAGATGTTACAGTGTCGGTGACTGGCGTGGGTTCTGAGATCATATGGATCAAGGCTAGTGACGCTACTGGTGTTTGTAAAAGGAAATTTCAGGGGTTGTGTTTTTAAAAAACACAGCTCTTGATTAATTGTAAATAATTAACTATTTACTTTTTAACAGCCTCCATCTGCTTGAAAAATACGTTCAGCCTCGATAAAAAGTTTCGAGCGCAATATCAACACAGTATTTCGCGAGCAAAGTCATGATCTTTTACACGGAGACATGTACACGAGATACAGTATGCCTGTAACACTTATTTTTTTAATAATTATCCAAATTCTTTCATTT